TTGAGCAGGGAGTCAGCAGCAGGGGACCCGGCTAGAAGCCATGGGGCCCTGCCAACTGCCCCCCCTCGACATAAGCTGATGCCAACCCTACGTCCAGCTTCCTTCACAAGGAGGGTCCGTGGCTCAGAGACAGAAGATCCGCTCTGCGTGCCCAGAATTCAAGGTTCAGTCCCCAGCATCTCCAGTTCAGAGATCCCAGGAAGACCATAACGAACACAATGCACCAATGATCTTGAGCGTGTCCAGAAGAGGGCAACCAGGACGGGGAGAGGGTTGGAATCCAGGTCTTACGAGGGAAGGTTGAAAGAGTTGGGTATGTTTGGCCTGGGAAAGAGAAGACTTAGAGGGGACATGATCGCAGTCTTCAAATATTTGGAAGACCGTCATGTAGAAGATGGAGCAGATGTATTCTCTCTTGCTCCGGATTGCAAGACCAGATCTAGTGGGTGGAAATTACAAGGGAGTCGTTACCGGCTCAATATCAGGAGAAACTTCCTAACTGTCAGAGTGACTGAGCAGTGGAACAGACTGCCTAGGGAGGCAGTGGATGCTCCTTCGCTGGATGTTCTCAGGCGGAGGCTGGACGACCATCTTTCGGGTATGTTGTAGGGCTATCTTTCTGCTAGGCTCCTGCAGAGTTCAGGGGGTGGGACTAGATGACCTGCAAGGTCCCTTCCAACTCTGACATTCTATGATTCTACAATCTCCCCCTGCAAGTGAAAAAGCCCTGGCTTATCACTGTGGTTTCGGAGTTAGAGATTTCCTGCCCGCCGAGGTCGCCCGGAGAGAGCCTGTTTCCAAGGAGGCCGTGGAACGGGGCCGAGGAGGGTGGGGTATTCACCGAAGCGCTGAAAAAGCCGGCATTAATGAAGCGCTTCCCTTGCTCTCTCTCTCTTCAAGGGATTATTGGTAAACTGGCACAGAGCCAGGGCAGCCCGAGCCAATTAATTTCCCTAACAAGGAGGCCGCTGTTTAACCAACAGCTTCCTGAGACGCAGGCGAAGCTGCCGGGGCCGTCTGCCGGGCATACGGGAGGCTGGTCTCGTGGAGGCCCAGTCGCTGGCTGTTCATTCCCAGTCGGGCTTCTGCCCAGGTGAAGATCCCCTTCTCCGACTGGTGCCTCCGGGTGCGTGCAGAGGGCCGTCTCGCTGCAGCCATCTCCCGATCCTGGTACGTTAGGCCCCCTCGAATCCCTGCTGTGATGGCCGTGAGCGCTGGCGGCTTTAGACCGACTCAGGGGGGATGGGCCCGGCAAGAACCACAGTGGTTGTATGGGACCTTCCCGGAGAGAAGCAGAAACCGAAAGGCATGTGGTTAGACAGTCAGCTTGGTGTAGTGTTTAGGAGCGTGGGCTCTAAACTGGGAGATCCAGGTTTGAGTCCCCACTACGCCACATGCAGCTGCTGGTGTGACCTTGGGTCAGTCACAAGTTCTCTCGGAGCTGTTCTCTCAAGGGCAGTTCTGGAAAGAGCTCTCTCAGCCCCACCTCCCTCCCAGGATGTCTGTTGTGGGGAGCAGTGTTCCCTCTTAGCTGAGCTAGTGTGAGCGAGCTCACAGTTTTTTAGCCTCTGGCTCACACATTTTTGTCTTCGCTCAGGAAGGAGGGCTCCAGAGCAAACTAAGTTATGCAGTAGCCAAATCACTCGCTCACAACTTTAATGCCGGTAGCTCACAAAGTAGAATTTTTGCTCACCAGACTCCACAGCTTAGAGGGAACATTGGTGGGGAGGGGAAAGGAGATTGTAAGCCGCTCTGGGACTCCTTCGGGTAGTGAAGGGCAGAGGTCCATCAGTGGCTATTAGCCACAAGGTATAGATAGGGACTCTGGGGCAAGTGATGCTCTGTCATCTTGGTGCTTGGGGGGGGTCAACAGTGGGAGTGCTTGTAATGTCCTGGCCCCACTGGTGGACCTCCTGATGGCACTGGTATTTCTGGCCACTGTGTGACACAGAGTGTTGGACTGGATGGGCCTTTGGCCTGATCCAACATTGGCATCTCTTATGTTCTTATGTTCTTAAGGGCGGGGTATATATCCAATCTCCTCCTCCTCCTCCTCCTCCTC